CAGAGTAGAACTCCCATCTCTCAAAACATTTTAAGCACAATGATAGATCCTTTTGGGGGACATACTCTAATTAACTACCATGGAGATTTTTACATTTAAAACTAGAAGTAGCAATTACAGTGTTCCAGATTCTTAGTGTGGATATTCTTCTGAAATATATATATATATATATATATATATATATATGGAATCAAACTTTAATTTTTAAATAAAGCTTAAGGTCAAAGAAAGGGAAATAATTACACAAATCTATATTCACAGAAATCCATCTAAAATGTCTTAATGAATATCTCTCCTCATGTTGGATAATTTCACAAGACTTGAAAATTCACCAAGGCTTTCTTTTTCTTAACCCTAGCAGCTTCCATTGCAATACTAATATTCACCTGTGTTATTCTTTTTCTTGCAAGGCAAAACTAATTAAAGTTCCTACCCCTTTCTAATTATTTAAAAGTGTTTCTGGGCATCACATCTTCATTGGGAAGAGTGTATGGGGACTCCGCAATGAAACTCAGGCAAGGCAGCATATCATAAAGAGAAATTAGGAGTTAATTTCTAAGCTAAACTTTCCTCCTGTAGACTCACTTGAAATGAGCTCAGAAACTGCGTAAGAAGAAAAATCCCTAAAATAAAAAGAGAAGTAAATAGGGGTTCCACAGCCAGAATTGGTAAATAGTTTTGGAGAAGAAAGAAATGTAAGGAGGGCACAGGAAAGTCATTACTCCCTTCCCTGACCCCCACTGTCTGCCTCGTGGAACCGTTATGCTAGCTTTCCTTTGTAAATTCCCAATGCAAATAAAGGAAAACATTTTATTAAGAATAAGATTGGGGACCTGGGGTAGAGCTCAGCAGCATAAGCTCCTGCCTGGGAAGTACAAGGTCCCAAGTTTTACCCCTGGTACCAGAACCAAAAAAAAAGAATAACATAGATAATGACAGAAGAAAACAATACCCAGTTCCCCATGTGCCTTTAAAACTAACATCTAAATTATTCCAGAACTTCACAGAATTTCTTCAGATGCCAGTAATCGACTGCTTTAGGAAATCCTGAGTAGAATTCATATGATAGTACACTATATCTGGATCATAAGGTTTTATTCTATCATACAAATGGAATAGTTAGGGTTTATATGATAGTGTAGGATCTCTGTCCTACTAATCCATAAACAGAGAGGGAAAACAGTAGTGGAACCTGAACTTCTATTAATTTCCCTTTTCTACTGAAAAAAAAAGTAATCTAGTTTCGGGAGCCACATAGAAAGGAGAACCTTTTAAAATGATATTTCTTTTATGACTGATTCTTTTTGTTCACCATACATGATTCTATTCTTCAGATTTAAATATAATATGGCCTGCTCTATTTCTATACAATGTTCAATCTATTTCACATTCAATGTTGACTTCAAAATTGAAGTCTATGATGATCTTATTTCCTTTATTTTAAAGTTCTTAGAAGACCTCACTCTGTTGTCCTACTCCATCAAAGCACTTGAGATACATTCAGTTGTCTTCCAGGCTTTTCTTTCTCAATTAGCTTTCAGTCCTGGTTATCCAAGCAATCCATGGAGTAATAGGATTGACTGTGGCCAAATCTACTTGTTAGAGAACATGTACCTGTTCAGTCCCATTGTTGAGGTTTGATTTCAAACTCTTTAATCATTAAACAATCAAAAGTGACCTCAGATAAAATATAGAGTAGGATTCATCCATGTAGTACTACGTTTATTGTTCAGCTTGGTTATAGAAGATGCAAAGATGTAGGTGCAGCTCAGCACTCAATCTGTGTCTCATGATTCAGGTCAACAGATTTTTCCTCAATAGCAACTTTTCTGAATCTTACAATTTTCATGAAATCTTACCATTTTAGCACTCTGCTAAGTAAATATTTGTAGGTTTGCTGAAACAACCCATATGCTTCTTCATACTTTCCCATAAACTACACCTCAAAGTGTCATTTGGTTGCAGTTTCTTTAACATTTGACTCACCACCCATGACGCAGGTATTACCTGATATTTAGGCCTCAAAGCCCCAACCTTGTTCACCCTCTCTGGGTTATAAAACTGTTGAAGTAATATGTGAAGGCAACGTGCTTGAGATGGCTGTTTCACAATTTCCCTCTTTCAGTACAGCTCTTAAGCAACATGTGGCCTAGTGCTTTAATGATCAGCTGGATTCAGGGAGCTCAGTATCGATTTCCGTCTGAATCCTGTTCTGCCTTTGATGTTTGAGATTGTTGAGTTAGTCTGTGTCACTCACTAAATATCTCAGTGTCTTCAGAATTCCATCAAATAGAAAAAGGGTGAAAACAAAATTTTGCTTAACATCAGAGAGTTTAACATCATGAGGTCATAATAGGCCCTCAAGTGTCATACCTGTTTTTTGATCTTCAAGAAACACTTAGCCCGAGTAGAAGACTGATTGGAAATTACTTCTGTATTGTTGAAGGAAAATATTCATTTTATTTAGATTCTAAATATTTATTATGGTATTAATGATGGATAAATACCTGGAGATTATAAACTGAGATTTTATGCAGAGTCCCTGAGCAAAATACCTTTTAAAATAGAATCCAATCCAGCTGGGTTACCAGGAATATGGGTGTTTAATATTCATTAGGCATCACTGAAGAAATAGAGACTGGAACAGATACTATCGCAAATGTAACTGTTTGCCATTTCATGCCTTTTTAAGACCCATGAAATAATGTTGACATGAAACGTTTTTGAAGTAAGTCACATAAGTAAGTATGGCCTTTATTGGTATTGATACTTGTTTTCAAAAAAATTCTATCATATAATAAATGAAGCATTATCTTTCACATTTTATTGATTAAGCATTGTTGAACCAATGTATATTCATAAAGAACTTTAGATTCAAAAAGTGCAAATGTTTCATTTAAGAAATGAACTATTTCATGATTTTCTATTTATTAAAAGATGGACTAAAGTATTTCCTTAGGTTACTGCCTTAAAACTCAAACAGAAAGTTTAAAAGAAAGAAAACTTCTAGGGAAATATCCAAATGTAACATGTTCAAGTCTCTCAATGTTATTTCATCAGTATTTTGAAAATTTTAGCCTATTAATTTTCAAAAATATATTACCAGTCAGTCACAGTGACACTTGCCTGTACGCCCCAAACTCTGGGAGCAAAGCCTGAAGGCTTGGAAATTTAAGCCCAGCCTGGGAGCCCTGGTTGGACAGTTTAGCAACTTAGTAAGTCCTGTCTCAAATGGAGATGGATGGAGAAGAAGGAAGGAAAGGCAAAAAGAGGCAAAAAGAGAAAGGAATTAAAATGTATTATGCACATATACCTATTTCCCACAGGGGTGTAAGCATTATGTATTAGAAACATGTACTAATCAAAATAAAATAAAACAAAAAAGAGCTGTGGATGTAGGTTAGTGTGAATGTCCTGGTTTTAATCCTCAGACACCCTATTGCAAAAATGAAGAAAAGGGCCAGCCAGGTAGCTCAGCAGACTAAAGCCCCTGCTTAGGTAGAACACAGGGACCGGGGTTCGTTCCCCAGAGTGCCATGCTGGCCCTGCCCTCAGGGTACACTGAGAAGGCGATTGAGACTGGGCATGATGGCACATGCCTGTAATCCTAGTGATTGGGAGGGTGAAAAAAGGAGAATCACTGGGAGCCTGATCTCTGTAGTGAGACCCTGTAAATTCTATAGTAAATACATAAAAAAACTCACCAAAAATAAAGAAAAGAAAGGAAGTATAACCCTATTTTTAATATCTGATAGAAGCACAGGTACTATAATTTTGAAAGCATATTTATCTGATACTATTGTAGGACAGAAATATTAAATTTGTCGCTGTTAGTGAAGGGATTTGCTATAGTATCAACTGGCAAATAGCGGACACCCAATTTAATAATTTTAAAATAAGTTAGTAAAATTTGAACACAAACTGCATCAATCAGGAGAGGCTCAGCGATGTGAGGGGAAACTGAAAAATAGAGCCAGCTGATTTGGCACCTAATCAAGCTACCAGTTACGAATGTGGCACCACCACCTTAAAATTCTAGAAATTTACGAGTAGAAATCTGAGCTGGATTCCTTAAAGTTGACCAGTTTTATGAGAGTGAGCATTTCAGATGTTATTTGAAACTTGCTTTGGAATATTCTCATTTTAGCAGGAAGCTTGAAATTCTTGCTTTTACTTGGAAATAAAAGCCTTTATAATAAAGCTTGGGGTTGCCTTTATAATAAAATCTTTAATTTGATAAGGAAGTTTTTCTAACTCATATTAACACTATTCCAAGCCTATTAAAGAGAGAGTTTAAATACTTCATTGATCCACTGGGTCATCACCATAACAGCAATTATGTACAAGAATAAGTCATTATACTTGTGGCAGGAAGACATCTAGCTAATTGGGGGTTCATTTAATTGATTTCTTCATTAATCAGGACTTTACAACAGAGAAATACATCTAAAAAGTAACATGCATAATCATTTACTTGTGGAGTTACTTCTGCATTTATATTTAAAGTAATTTCATTGATACTCTATTTACAAACATGCATTAAATAGGGTTAACATTGTCCAAATTCTCATTGTTTCTATATTCTAACAATATTTATTTAGAAATGTAAAATTGAATACTCTGAGTATTCTCTCATTTTAATAATAAAAAGAAAATTTTGCATATTTTAACCTGTTGACTGAGATATTTTCTTCCTTATTCCTGGAGATCGTCCATAGGTTTTTGTTTTTATGTGAACTGAGAAAATGAGTTTTCTTAGATGTCTTTAAAACTTCAAGCATATCACAGTGTGAAACTTGAGAATTGATTCCCAGAACATAGCAGAAACAGAGCTATGAAGAGTTACCAAATATTTATGGTTAAAAAAAAAAAGAAAAAAAAAAAAACAAAACAAAACACTATCCATGTAGATCTTGAGGTCATATCCTGACCGAAAGAGGAAGTGGCAGATCATTAGTCTAAACTTATCTGATGCTGCACCTCACAGAAGCCAACTGCTGACTGGTTTTAGTCGTTTCTCCAACGGCAAAAAGTATACTAAGTAGCAGTAATCTGTACTCACAATGTTGAAGAGAAAACCATCCAATGTATCAGAGAAGGAGAAACATCAGAAACCAAAGGTAAGATAGATTCACCATAATTAAATAAATAAAACTACGCCATATTATAGAAAACACACCCAGGGTTCTAGCTGTTGGTTGTAAGTTGGTTCAAGTACAGAATTGAATGCAATGGCAAATACGGAAGAATGACACTGGGAAGTAAGATGTTACCAACTAACAGTTACTGTGTCTGAAGGGTTTTTTCTTCTTATAATTTGATCAGTTACATCTTTAGCTGAAGCGTGAATAGATGAACTCCACAAATTGAATTTGATTTTCTGTGTTTGAGAGGTTCGATGGTTGAACTCTTCAATGACTGTGAGCGTGTCGGCATTTTACCTCTTAAGAGTTTAGCTTTTCTTAATGTATTTAATTATGAGAAGCTTGTAAATGGAGTTACTTAAATTAAGGCATGAATGTTAAAATATCATAGTTTGTTTTTAGACATGCATTTTTCCTACTCTTTTCCTTAAACTAAAAATTTTTACTGGAAAGAGGATTAGGCTATGTTTTGAGAAATATCCAAATCCCATTAACTGCTACACTTGACTAGTTGGTGTTACATAGAGTGTTATTTTACACATTGTCTTGACATTAATTGTACCTTAAACAGTATGATATAGGATGATAAAATTTAAATTCTGTCCCAGAATTTAAATTTTGTCATCCTATGTCATAGGATGATCCTAAATGAGATTAAAAATATTAAAAATTTATGAAGTACTCAGACCTGAAAACATCTCCAATAATTGTACATGTTTTGAGTTTCTTAGGTTAAGAAAATTTTCAATCTCTGAGTTACACAATAGTAAATCCAGATGTCTTTTTAAATGATTGATTTATTGCTTGGTATCAGCCTTTGTTAGGCACTTGTTTTAGACAACTGGGTTGGGAATTGATTGCGATTTTTCAAATTAATATGGCATTGGACAATGATCAACATTTTGAGATGTTTTTGAAGTTACTGCACAGCATTTTCAAAGGAAACCAGAAAAAATTATTTTTAATTTTTAAACCAAGAATACTGAAACTTTATTAATTTTGATATTTTCTGATAGATATAAAAATCTTATAAAACCTTGATGAATATCTTCAGTTGAAAATTTAGCTGTGTAACATATTATGAGTTCTGTGTCTTCTAATAAAATGAAAACCGAAAGTAACATTTTCCAAAGTATACAAAAAGGTTTTTTAAAGCATCATTTAATTCCTAATTCAGAATTAATTTTACATAAAATATATTTGATTAAACCTATCAAGTATTTACTTGGAGGTGGTTGGGGAATATTGTAAAAATTAATATGAAGCCATAGCTTTCCTCAAATATTTAAATTTTAAATTATTTTGTAAATGCTCAAGTATGTAGTGAAATTCTATCATGTTTATGGCACTGAATTATTTCCATATTGATGTTTGTCACTATTTGGCTCAATAACAAAGCTCATTTCAACACATGTAAAATACTTTCCATGTCATTGACTTTCTTATTCATGAAATAAAAACAGACTTGACAAAATTTACACCAAAGAACAAAATATATCAAAGAAAATAATCATATTAAGACGTATGTTTTTCTTTGAGTGAATTTTCATTTTCTTTAGGTAGATGTTTTCATCCTGTGTGAATTTTAAGAGATGTGAGTTAAATGTATGAGTGTAGCTATTTCATACCTCAGATCTTGTGGGTCTTTCGTCTTTTATAACTTTGTCTGTACATGTGTGCCATCTATGACATTTACATGTGCATATAAATACTCCATATCCCTTTCCTGACCCCAGTCCTATTCTCCAAATGTCTGTTTTTTATTTTACTCTTTATTTGGGTGTTTTCTTTTTAATGTGGAAGGAATATTTTTCACATTATTATGTTTCCTTTTTTTTACTGTTTTAAAATTCATTTTAATGAGAAAAAAGATAAAATAGCAATGAAACAATTTCAAAATAGGTCAGGAGGACAGTTACAATAATAAATACATTGTACATTGTTGTCTTCGTAGTAGTTATTCAGAGGACAAGATGCAGACATGATATCTTGTCTAGACAATATTAGTACAAACCTTTCTTCTCAATGAACTAAGAGAAAGGAGCTGTCTGTTTCTTAATTGATAGTTATTTCACTGTATAATTTTTTTGAATATTTTAATTATGGATGATACGATGATCCTCACAAATTAGTGACTAGCCAAAGGAAGAGTACAAATCCCTTCATCTATTGAAAAGGAATATAAGACCTAGATCTTTCAAATAGAATATAACCACAATGTAATTGGTCTGAAATATGAGAAATCATTCACTACCAGTTACACAGTACATGATACTATCGCCTGGTGGATAAACACAAACCCTTAGTAATATACTCTCAAAATTTTGGAAAGAAATTTTTTGTTATAGGAAGTGTTAAACAGTTGAGAAGTAACAATGTCAAGAATAAAAGAAAAGATTGTTTAATAATTTAGTCCATGTTAAGTCCCATACGTAACAGTTCAGGTGACCTACTACCCAATGCACACGTAAAGCACATGACGTCACGTACTACCTACCGGAAAAATTATGCAACTTTGCATTCAAAAGAAAGAGAATGGAAACAAATTAAAGTTAAGTAAGTGTAATAATAGATGAGACCATACTGTACATTTTGAAACCTCTAAAAAAGAAATCTAAGTGTTTCACTCTAAAGAAATGATGGAAATAGATATGTTTAGCATGATTTAAAATTTTACAGAATCCATATATACATTAGAATGTCACATTGGATCTCAATTATATATATATATGTATATATATATATATATGGGAAGCATAAAATATACTAAAGGAAATAAATGGAAGATTTTGTTATTAGCATTTTCGAATAGGTTCTATATTTATGGTAAGATTAACAACATTCATGCACTAACAGGTATAAAAATCCTGTAGCCAAAGTGACATTATTTTTTATATTGACAATACTTACTAATTAACATACCTATTACTAAAAGACAAGTAAATCAAAATACATATTAAAATAGTTTTACTATTATAATTTTATCATTAATATGATACCTTTTTCATTTATTCCCCTGTTTATTTTTGTTATGGGTTTTTCCTTTGCATCTCTCACAAGGCCAATAGATTCAAATTTATCAGAAAACATTCATAGCATAGATTGAGAGTCAGATCAAAGATATTGCCCAACGGAACACTGAAGTATTTGGAGAATTGTGATAGAATCAACCCATTATATGCACTGAAAGTTAATGTATTCTACTAAACGTAATATGTGCTTCAGCATGGTCTAGGCATACAGGAAAACTCCAATTTTAAAAGAAATAAGTGTGCATTAATTTATTTGGTATCTGTGAAAACTTTGTGAAAGAATCACTCCTATTTGACCCCATAAATGAAGTACCCTAGACATATACAAGGTTAATTCTCATTGAAAAAGACAAATAGATAAAACAATGTCATGTGAAATACACACAATGCCAATTTCCAATATTGTCATTCTCAATTTTCTTTCCCCATGCTATTACAAATAACTACACTGCCAGTATTACTTCCGTATCTGACTTATTTGACAGATCAATTTTAAGGAGACAAGGGAGTCCATATTGTTAACAGGTTCTTATAATTTGAAAAACTGTCCATTTCTTTCTCTGATTAAACATGGAAAGTTCATCTATGTAATCTCTCCATGTGTCTACCCAAGTTTCCAAACTTAGAATTATTTTTAAAATCCCAGAGCTTTCCTGATATTCAAATACTTAGAAGAAAATCAGGACAACTAGTGTTTAAATGAATATAAACATGTATCTTTCTTCTGCACCTAGTATAAGACTTTCAGAGTAGGAGGCTTTCAATAAATATTTCTAAATGAATAAAGTCTTTAATCTACCTAAAGAGACCTGGTTCATGGATAGATACTTATAAATACTATATATTTTTGTTATTCTTGATAGCAAGTCTGTCAATGGGCATGTAATAAAGTTTGTAAGCAGAACTGTAATTTATTTGTAAGTTGTATTGTATCAACTCCAGGATACCAAATTTTGCACAATCCTGGAGAAGCACACTATTACATAATAGTGTACCTCTGTACCACTTTATGGTATAATGAAGATTATGGCATAAACTTTGGGAAAGAAAAAAGGAACGGATCCTGCAAATAAAACTTAGTAAATGTAATTAGAACAACTTGGCCTTTATTTGGCTGGATTAATGATCCGTGGTAATAAATTTTAACTGAGATTTTCTTTGCCTTAAGGAGATTCTAGTACCACTGTTATTGTAAAGGGAAACGTGGGAACGATGTCACTTCCTAAAATAGCTATTTTTGTACCGTTCTTTTTAATCTAAAGTGCATACTAAATGAGACACCATTAGTGTCACAGATGCTAATTTTTACTAGCAATGACTGAAGTGGCATTCTTTCCCATTTGCATTTGATCCTAGCAGTGATGAGAGGTGATGAGTTGATTATGAGCTGTTTTCACTGCAATGCCCGCTGTGCAAATTTAGGCTCCTAGACAAGCATGACACATAGCTGTGGCATTAAAAAGCTTGCTTCGTTGTTTTTTTCTATCAAGCCTGTTAAAATATACTTTAACTCTTATCTAACCAGTTGTAAGAAAGAGTTATCTCCTTGTGCTGGTGCTTATTTCAGGACAGGCTCTTGCATGAGGCACTCAAATCCCTAGCTTTCAAAATCTTCTCAGGGCTCTTATGAGATAGACATTATTTTCTCCAAATTTACCGGGAAGTAAATCGTCCTATAGATGCCAAATGTTTTGGATATATTTTGGGGATACGGTGATGCCCTTAGGTATCATTGCTAGTAAAAAACAAAAACAAACAAACAAACAAACAAACAAAAAAAAGGTGGGGAGATATCTAGGACAGTTTTTCAGCTTCTGAGACTGGGCCCCTCTAGTACCTCTACTGCTTTTTCTGGACTGTAATTTCACGTGAAATACACACGCTTCTTCTGAATGGAAATAGATATGTTTAGCATGATTTAAATTTAGATTATTTACTTGACGC